ATGGGCGGCAAGGTCCTCGTCTCCACCCAGGAGTCGCCTGGGATCTGTTCCGGGTGAGGAATTCGAGCCATCGACGGCGCCAATTGTGCCCCTTGCTGCGCAGGAGCACATCCAGCGATTGATCGCGATCCGCCTGCAGGCGGCTTCGACACTGCTTTCAAACGCTTATGGGCCCCGCATCCAGCAAGGAGCTACAAGGTAGCTTGCAAGCACACTGGCCTATGATCGATTCAAGCTGCATGCGTCCTTCAGGCGGACGTGCTGAACTCGGCCTTGGTGATCGTGGCCCGCACAGATGCCGAGGCAATACCTACTATGCTCGGATCAGGGTTTTGCTGTCTTAAGGCTCCGAAACTCCAGGACTCGAGGGGTATGGGTCAGGGGCGCAGTTTTTCTTGCTAGGTGCGGGGTTAGATGCTTCGGTGTGCCTGTTAGCCTCCAATCGTCCCTGAATTGCCCAAGTGTCTTCATTTCAGGGCCGATGAAATCATACTGCTAGAGGCACTTCAGGGAGACCTCGCTCAAAAAGGGTTTATGAAGCTTTTGAAGTAACTTCCATGTTCTTTCTCCTCCTTGTTTATCTGCAGAATGCAGGTTTACCCCGCTGAGGCTTTCAAAATATCATCAGTTGTGAGCGGTAGCTTTCAAAATATCATCAGTTGTGAGCGGTAGACTCCATTGGAGTGGCGTAGCCTTTATCTTTTTGGGATATTACTTAAAGGATCATGGGACTTAGTAAGTAGGGTTATTATTAAGGTACCTAGTACTTATAAACCCAATTAAGGGACTTATAACCTTACTAAGTCCCATGATCCTCCAAGTATAGGGGCTTAAATCATTACCAATACTGTTTTTTTTTGGGGGGTGGTTCCTTATTATGGTTGTAGTATAATGCACCCCCAGGCACTGCTCTAATTATTATTAAGGCCGCTATAGTATGTAGAGCCCTTAGAGTTTTTGCAAGGTCAATCGTGTCGGGGGACTAAGGCAACTCAGAAAGTACGATGATCCTCGCAGCCTGAACACAGCTCTGCTTTCTTTAATTAACGCACTCACAACAGTTCTACGTGTTACGACGTCGGGTCAGTCGGTCTCGGGTTGAGGATGTGACGCGGGTTCAGGGTATGTCAGATTACGAACTAGAATTGCTGGAAAGCGTAGTAGCGTTTTAAAACTGTAGGCTTCGAACATTACACAAACCGAATTCTCGACCCTTGAAACAAAGCGTTCGGAGGAAACGAAGGCGAAAATCTGAAGGACGGACGCGTGTAGGATTGAAGGCGAGTCAGGCATCCCCGGGCTAGTGTTTAGGGACCTGTGAAAAGTACCCGTAAAAGATGCAGATATGTAAAGGTACATGTGAGTTTGTAAATGGTTCAAAGTAGATTGGGATGCTCGCCTCCATGGATCGGCGGCTCTGGTGGTAGTTACTCGTATTGTTCCGTGCGTTGCATGGCTGCGTAGTGGCTGTTTGTCGGTCAACAAAGACATTCAGAATTTGTAGCTACCGAGAGTCTGAACCTTTGAACCCTGAGCCTTAAAACTATGCCAAACTTTTGTCATGGGTTTCCATCCCCGAAACTTAATCACGGGACCTGCCCAGTGCCCTAAACCCTCGACGTATGAGGAGCCTTGCCTGCTTCGTGCGAGAGTGAGAGCTAGCCTTGAAACTGAACCCAGAACCCCAAATCTTGCACCCTGTGTGTAAGGAGATGAGACGGAGAGCCTTTTCGCTCATGAGCCTTTATGTGACCAAGAGGTACCCCAAGGGTCTAAAGAGTCTTTTCTTTCTGAGGGGGAGTATGCGTGTTGGGACTCAGCGGGTATTAAACCCTGTTTGGTTAAAGGTTCATGGGTTCGGGGGAAAGGGTTCAATTGGGCCCCGGGCAACTGTTAAATCCACCAGCAGCAAATTTGTAATTGGAATAGGGTTTGGGGTATATTGCACTATAAATACAACAGGGAACCCCTAAATTGTATAGGTAATTATCTTAGGGGCTGAGTAGGTAACCTTTAACCTTTTGGGGCTTATATAATCCTATACTATAATTCCAAAGGTTAACCTTTTTTGGGCTAGGGTACTCAGCCCCTAAGTTATTGAGGCTCCTACATTAACAAAACTGGCCGGACCGCTGGTTCACGGCACGTTTGCAGGACCGTTGATTCGGCCCATCTCAGGCACAAACCCGTTTATGTACATGGGTCTGAATCTGGATAGCTTGTGATCGTATTGTATTCTGCGTTTTATTATGCTTTAGTATAATATGTTTTGTTATGCATATCCTGTTAGCTTGCCTTATCCGCAAAAAACTATACTACCGTATATTATAGTATAATATACCTATATACATACACATGTCATTAACATGTGTCTTAATTCAAGCTGCCTTACATTTCATCTTTAACTCATTTGATCATCACTTACGTTTGCTGTCTTTGTCATGTTATGTCATAGTAGTTGAAAGTGTTTCCCGCTTTGTTATATGAGATTATACCCATAGTCCAGTTCAGAGATTGCTCACACATATACTGGACTATCATCAACCCTTAAGTCGTTTTGAATTGGTCTAAGGCCCTCACGCCCTAAACCTTAAACCCGTGGGGTTTAGGGCTTAGGGTCTTGATCCGACCCCGAAAGCATCAAGCCGTTTACTGAGCCAGAAAACTGAACACAAAGCTTGCAAGGGTTTAGGGTTTAGGGTTTTACCGCGAACTCTGCAAAAAGCAATGCACAAGAGAACCAACGAGCAATACATATGACTAGAGTAAGGTTGTACACATTTACATCGCAGCTTTACATCCCAGAAACACAAAGAGTCCTTTGAAAATGAAACCGAGCAGCAGCTTTAATTCCAGAACCGATTCACCTAACCTACCTTCTTCCAGATAAGCGAATAGTACATGAGACCGCCTTGGAACTCTCAGAGTGCAAACCCTATCGTTCGGGGACCGCAAAAGGTTTCGCGCTTGGGCCCTCTAAACCCTCAACCCTAGACCTGAACCCTATACCCTGTACCCTAAACCCTGAACCCTAAAATGTAGGGGGTAGGGTGAAGGATCCCTTGTTATTCTTAGTGTATTCTGATCTAGGGTTACCCCACCTGCCATCATCCCACGTTTGCGGGCCCTGAGCACTAAAACCCTCAACCGTACCCTAAAGCTAAACTCAGTCTCCAATTCTCCCTAAACCCTAAACCCTAAACTCCTAAACCCGAAGCCCTAAACGCTAAACCCTCTAAATCTTTAAAGAACCCTAAGCCCTCTGAAAACTGCTTTCGAAGCCCTGTACGAGGTGGTCTCTGATTCCTGCGATCGAATCAGCCAGCGTCCCGGAACCTGGCCAGGCCGGTCGGGGAGCTCTGCGTGTGTTGCACGTGGTTGGGTTTGATGTAGGGGCCTAAATCATTGCCAACACTATTTTCAGGGTCCCTTGGTTTGATTATCCCTAAACCCTCAACCCTAAACCCCAAAACTCTATTCTAATTATTAAGGCCCCTACGTTAGGGTCTTTTGAAGGTTAGGGTTCAGGCTGCAAAGTTTAGGGTTCAGGCTTTTTTCTTTTTTTTGGGGGGGGCGGATGATGGGCTCTTCAAAGATATATGATGTTGTTACGAGGTTTTCGGAATCTTACGTAGTACGGTTTTTGTTGGTGTTTACAAGGTTCATGCTTAACCGGTGGTATCACAAAAGGACAGAAAGACGTCACGAAGATCGAACGTGCTTTCTTGAACCAAAGCCTAATAGCTGAGTTGCGGTGATTTCAAGCACCGCCTGACTGGCGGCCTTGAAGCGACACATCTTGCCGTAGAGTTGATTTTTCGCAGTTGTAGAAGACAACCTCCAATCTTTATTATCTTTCCGGGAGAAAATTCATGTCTCTTCCAGCGGGAACCGACCAAGGCGGACCCAGGAGCAGAAAAAATCGGACTTACGGTTTCCCTAATATGGACCCTTAGGCCTTTCTAGGGACCCTTAAGGGTACATATAGGGTATATAGTAGGTGTATAAGGATCCCAGGGTTAAGCGCCCATACTAGGGGCCTGAGGTTCCAACCTTAGAAGCTCACGTTTGCGAGGCATGGGAAGTACAGCAGTCGAGCCCCTTGTGAAAACAAATGGCTTTGGAGTTCAGGCTTTAGGTTTTAGGGGTTTGTAAAGCCCAAATCAACTCGGCCCCTACAGGTTTAGGGTTTAAGGTTTAGGGTTTACGGTTGGTTGACTGCGCGCTCTTGCTTTAAGACGGGGTGAGGGTTGCATGGGCGCTAGCCGGCACCTCAGTCTGTGCTGAAAGGGTTTTCAACAAGGGTTTAGGGTTTACGGTTTAAGGTTTAGGGTTTAAGGTTTAAGGTTTCGGCTTTAGGGTGTAGGGCTTAGGGTAAAGCCTACAAAACTCGGCCAGGCACCCCGGATGGCAAGCCGGACCGTGTTCACTTCAGCGAGCTCCAGGTTCCTGTTTGCACTATTGGGGCCTCTAAGGGCTTATAGAGTTTGAAGTGCTTATAGGTTTATAGGTCTTACAGGGCTTACACAGTTTACAGGGTTCAAAGTGTTTACAGGGCTTACAGGGTTTTTAGGGCTTACAGGGTTTATGGTTATTTTCGGGCTTCATGTTAGAACTGTGGAAGCGGGATTTCGCGAAGGTCTCTTGGATGGACATTGCTGTGGGGTTACAGGGTTTAATGAATGAAGCCTGAGAAAGAGTAGCGCAGGGGTTTATAGGGTTTGGTATAGGGGCCGTAGTAAGAGTGGAGTAGGGTGGTTAGGCATGCTAGAAAAAGGTGATACTCAGCCAGACTTAAAGAGAGTGTTACCTGGGGTAAGTGGGTTAGGGCTTGTAGAAACGGTGGCAAGAAGACATTTGTCGGGTTTCGTATCGGTGAAGGGTGCAGGGTCCCTAAACCCTAAACCCTATAATTCCTAAGCCCTAAACCCTCAACCCTAAGCCCAAAACCTCGAAGCTTTTTGGTTGAGGGTTTCGGGACGTTTGGGGCGTGCAGGGTGAATTCGTGGGTTTTCGGGCGTCAGGCTGAGGGCACAGGTCACAGGCATTCTTTGGGGGTTTGTACGGTTGGGGGTTCAGTTTAGGGTTTAGGGTTTAGGGTAAACCCTAAACCCTAAACCCTAAACCGTTCAATGGTCTATGGCCTATTCGGGGGTTTCGGGTTTAGCGAGCTACGCTTTTCGGAGGCTCTTTTAGCCGACCAGGTCCAACTCATATCGGCACTATAGGGTTTAGGGTTTAGGNNGTTTAGGGTTTAGGGTTTAGTCCTTACAACTTACAACATAATTCCTGTGTCGCTGACTTCGGCTTGAACCCTACGTGCTAAACCCTTCAAATTTCCGAACTCGCGGGGTCCTTCAATTTTGTGGAGTCGCCTCCTGAAGACCTACCAGTACTGTTCCCAAGGATTCTTTCTGTATTTTAGTATACCACAGGCGTTTAGGGTTTAGGGTTTAGGGCACAGCATACCCAACATCCCAGCGTAATCATGAAGGCCCCTATGTTACCTGAATGATTGCAGGGTCTTGGTCTCGAGCGTGACGGTGAAGCTTGGGGGGGGGGGGGGGGG